CCACGCGTCCGGGCATGCAGCTTGCGCGAGGCTTCGCCAGTTCGGTTTCATTCTCGACCTTCACCGCCTTCATCGAGACTGTCCATGATGATTTTTCAAGCTTCTTTGAACGAGTCATTAAAAAGCTCTCAGGAGCTGATCGTCCTACGCTACAGTGAGCAGCAGGTGCTGATCCCGCTGCCCAGGACCTTCCAGGTGCGCCACCTAATTTTAAATGCGACCACAGTCAAATTCACAATCATCACAACACATGGTCTGTGGATGTTCTCTCGGACTGATAATGTAGGACATACATACAGCTGCACGAGAACTGTTTCACCTGGGCACAAATAACGGCCTACGCATCAGCACCGAAGACCTGCACGGCCACGCAGGAGTAGACATCGAGATCAATGAGGCGGCCTGGAAAGCGGTCAGCCCGCTTCTCCGTTCCATCATCATCCAACCCCGGGCAGATCTGACATCGGGGCACACCCTCGCCCCAGTCGCCCACGTGCATCAACTAACTCCGTCATCGTCAACATCGTCAATACGGGAATCCGCGAAGGCGAAGCGCAAGCGGCCCTCGCGGGTGCGCGAACAGGGCCAGAATGGTGAAGAAGGGACGGCGCAGAAACGTGCACGGGTGTCCGAGGAGCCGGAACAACCCACCGCTGGTCCTGGCTCGGGCTCGTCGCAGCGCACCAGCTTCCAGACCGAGGAGCAAGACCCACCTGTGGAGGAGCAACACGAGTACGAGGAAGAGGAAATGGAAATAAATATAGGGGAAGAGCATGGGGAGGAAGAGCAGGTCGAGGAAGCTGTGGAATATGTGCAAGACCACCAGGCCGTCTCGTACGCGTCACATGAGCCTGGCCAGCCGGCGTATTGGGACGAGCCACGAAGAGAAGAGCAGGCCGCGCAAAGTATGCAGCGACGCACCGAGCAGCCACGCGAAACGACTCCGGTCTCCAGGAAATTCAAGCCTGCCCTAGAAGCAGTCACACCTGCGCGAGGGACAGCCAGCCAGTTGGCTACGCCGCGCGCGGGAATCTGGCAAGAGAACGTCGCATTAAAACAGGAAAAGCCCTCCCCCGCTCCCTGCGTCAAGTCTGAGCTCTCATCGACAGCCCCGCGCACCCAGCGTGTCGGTAAGCCCGGTCTCCGCTTCCTTTCCCAATGTTCTCCTCCGGTCTCGCTATTGCTCTCCGATTTATTCGTGCACGCTGACGCCATCCTGCAGATTCCGTGCCTCCTACACAAACTCAGACCGATAGCACGGACAGCTTCCTTGTACAGATCCAGTACATCGGGCACACCGCGGGCGAGGACGAGCAGCTGATGTTCAAGACGCGCGGGCGCCACCACGTCACGAAGGTCCTCCACCAAGCGTGCCGCACATTCGGGATCGAGGACCTGTATGAAAGGTACGCCTCCGCACATAAACCGCGTCCTTCTCTTTCGCCTGCGAGGATGCGCTCACGACTGACTGGCTAATCGTCTCCTCTCGCAGGGCCCGTCTAATACTCGTTCTAGAGATGGAAGACGAGAGCGGTGAGACCTTCGAGCACCGCGCACTGTGCGAGGGACACGAGACCATGGCGGGCGTCGGCGCCACTCCTGGGTGTAGGTTCGTACTGGAGATCGACTGATGGAAGTGAGCGGAAGAGTTCGAGGTGCCCGTGCTGCGGATTGAGATTGTACATCTCACGAGAGCTTCCCATCTAGCGTGATCTTACATATAGTGGTAGTAGCTGCCATGCGCACATGTGTATTCAAAATCTTCGTACACAGAGTCCCTGTATTTCAGGATTTGTATAGAGATTAGGTAGACAGAAGGTCTGAGCACCCCTGCCTGGCTCAGAGACAATACCAGTGCTAAGTGGAATTGTGGCGGTTCGGCAGAATGCGGTGATGAGCCTGCCCGGATTGACATTAGCAGTGCCACCGCCCACCGTCCGCCATCTACATCTGCCCTCCTATCTGATTCATCGGGTCGCTCTCGTACTCTCGACGCTCAAACTATCTTAACGGATACCTCATCCAAGCGCTAGCAACATGTCCTACGGCGGCAACTACGGTGGTTACGGCGGCAATAATGCCGGACAGGGCGGTGGAGGAGGAGGTGGCTATGGTGGCGGAGGGGGAGGCGGATATGGCGGCGGAGGCTACGGCGGAGGCGCCCCCGCCGGGCCAGGCGGGTTCGCCCCTACGATGTCGCGAGGACCTCCTCCTGGGGCTGATCCCCAGTCAGTATCTCGAGTTTATGTATATGTACAAGCGGCCGGACGCCGCAACGGTAAACGGTGCTGACGAGCGGAATCACAGGCTCTGGAACTGGTTCACGGCGGTCGACACAGACAGATCGGGGAACATCACCGTGCACGAGCTGCGTGAGTTCTTGTGCTTCTGGTTGGCGTATGATTCGGCGGGCTGACGCACGCGCATGGATCCGCAGAGAAGGCATTAATCAATGGGGACTGGACACGTAAGAATGCACACATACCGCGTACCCCGGGGAGATGCTGACTGCAGCGTTGCAGCGTTCGATTTAGACACGGTGAAACTGCTCATGGCGATCTTCGTGCGTCCACCCGGATACCTCGCATCGCGGGCCTTGCTGATCTCTCGCAGGACACGGACCGCAGCGGGACCATCGGCTTCAACGAGGTACATACAAGCCCCGCCCCGTCTCACGACCATCTCCGTCTGATCGTGCTGACGGCTGTGCCTGCAGTTCGCGGGCCTGTGGAAGTACATCAAGGACTGGCAGAACGTGTTCCGCCACTTTGACCGCGACGGCTCTGGCTCAATCGACGGGCGCGAGCTCGCGGACGCCCTGCGGCAGTTCGGCTACAACCTCGCGCCGCCGCTCCTCTCGCTCGTCGAGCGCAAGTACGGTGAGTGCTGCGATTCCCTCCTAGCCTTTTCCACCCTTTTACGCACGTTATCGACCGCTTCATCGCTCGTGGCGATGCAATAAAACCGCTGGACTAAACACGCGCTAACCACAGTCATGACTGAAGGCACGGGACCCGCTGCGGGGGCGCCCGCCGGGATCACGTTCGACCGCTTCGTGCGGGCGTGCGTCGTGATCAAGCAGCTCACGGAGGCGTTCCAGAAGCTGGACACGGACCGCGACGGCTGGATCCAGATCAGCTATGACCAGTTCATGCAGACTGTCCTCAGTGCGCCGTGAACGCCAGGGCGGGGACGGACAACTGGGCAAATATCCAAGAGAAGGCGTATACCAAGATGGAGTGAAGGAATCGGGTGGGACACCGAGGGGATTGATAGCTACTGTATCGTATCAGAAGACGTATGAGACCGAGCACCACCACGTCGAGGTGAAACGACAGATGGCGGCGCGGAGATCGGCGTTAGCGAGTGCGTCCATTCTTGGAATTTCGAGGTGTCTTCGCGCCTGCACCGTCCGGGCCTTGAGCTTCTGTCCCCGCGAGGCCGCGCCCGTTCCAGCCATTTGCGGGAAGGCTTTGCAGCTAGCCATGACGTATGGCAGGCAGCCCATCACAGGTGGATCAACATCGGGACGTCAAGATGGCACTGCATGTGGGTGGATGACCCCGCGCGTGGGCAGCGGGGGCGCGGGCCCCAGGAGCGCGCTGCGGAGCGGGGTCCACGCGTGGCCACATGGGCAGCCCAGCGTCGGCGAGAGACGCACGCTGTGCTCCGTGCGCAGCGCGCGGCAGCAGGCCATCGCTGGAAAGACTGAATGGCCCTGGCGGGGCGGTCTGGAGCAGGCCGAAAAAGGGCGCCTTCGACCCAGCGTGATTACCGCATGCGGCAGGCGCCTCCCGCGCTCTCGGTGCCTGCGGGCGTCTCTATTTAGCACACTTGGCGTCATGCGCCCCTTATAACGCCTGCAGTGCGGGCCCCCTGTATTCCCCAACACGACCACACATTCCAACTCCTTTCCATACCAAAGATGATGTACGCGACCCTCCTCGTGACCGCCCTGCTCGCCGCCGCTGCGCACGCACAGAGCTCTTCGGGCACCGCCTCCGCCTCCGCTGCTGCCCCCAGCGGGTTTGACGACTGCATCTCCGGCTGCGTCTCACAGGCCGCCAGTTCGACCGACTGTGGCTCGTTGTGCGTCGTGCCCCATGCTCCTCCGCAGCGTCCTGCCTGACGCCCCTCTTCCAGCACCAACCTCACCTGCGTCTGCGTCTCGACCGAATTCCAGACGGCAGCTCTGGCCTGCCTGCAGTCAAACTGCACGGCTAACGACATCGCGGCAGCCGAGGCCCTCCAAACATCCGAGTGCGCTGCCAGTGAGTGTCGTTCCCTTTTCACCTCCCCTTTCTCCCTGTTCGGCGCCCAGCATCGGACGTGACACTGACACATCTCACAGTTGCCGGCTCGAGCAGCCTCGGGCCCTCCTCTATCTCGAGCATATTCTCCAGCGCATCCTCCGCCGAGTCCTCCGCGCTCTCGTCCGTTGGCTCATCGCTCTCCTCCGGTGCCTCGTCCTTCTCCTCCGCCCTCTCCTCGCACGCCAGCTCCGCGTCGTCCGCCGCGAACAGCGCGGCCAGCTCCGCGAGCAAGGCTGCGACGGGCTCCTCCACGAGCCCCCCGAGTGCGACGAGCTCCACGAGTGGCGCGGGCAAGGCCTTCGCAAGCGTTGCCGCGGTCCTGGCGGCGCTCGGTGCGCTCATGGTGTCTGCGCTTTGAGAAACGGCACGCGCTGGCTTGGAAGGGAGCGAGGAGGTGGGAACAGCTCCCCATGGACGGTATCCCCCCGTCGTGAAAATGCGACACGCGAGGCCTGCGGGCTCGTGCGTTGTCGCTCGCTCTGCCCCTGCATTTCTCGGTACTTTCGTCTTGACGGTATGTCTTCGATCCGCTGTATTCGTTATGCGTTTGCACCTACGTTGTTGGACTTGTAATTTAGTGATGTGCCTGTGGATTCTTATGTATTCAATAGTTACTGCTTGACAAGTACACCCAAGGATTCACAAACATGACTTCCTTGGGTACTACTCAGCGTATCAGTTCAATATGGGCATGTGGTGTAGTTGGTTATCACGCTCGCTTAGCATTGACAGAATTTGTCACGAGTGCGAGAGGGGTCCGGTTCGATCCCGGACATGTCCATTGATGAATGTCCCTGCGGCTTTTACAATTTCGAGGAGGCACACTTGGTTGTGTCTCCCATCAATACACAACACAAACCACGTATTCAAAACTAACTCCTACTTTTGTTTGGTCCTTCATCATTGTGTTCACCTCCACCACATGTAAACACTGGTATTCTTCCCGTTGACCAGCGGATGCAGTGGTCCGGCAGGACCAAGATCCGCTGAATGTTTTGTCTTCTGCGCGGAAGATCTCAATTCCATCCGGAGAGGATCTCAATGTCATCTATTCACAGATATACGTATCCGCGAGGTCTTGTCAGCATATATACCTGTGAGTTCCCTGGGTTTTGTCCAACATATCTTGTTCAGCTACCACGACGACTTCTGCGAAGCCGTCTGCACCTCGTTCTCGTTATCCGCGTGTGTGACTGCCTCCGAACTCATATCTGCACTTCCACCTCGTGTTTCTCGGTGCCACTCGCCTCGTGGCGCGCACGACATATAAGCCTAGCGAGCCCACTGTGCCCCACTCAGTCAAACGTTCGTCCCATCATCTGTGTCCATTCCTCTGCTCCTGCTAAGCGTCTTTTAGAACTCTATAGACACTATCTAGTACCTACCACTTCCCGGAGAGGTTGACCATCATGACCACATTAATGGCGTCGCTATCCCTCATCGTCCCCTCATCCTCGTCGCAGGCGACGTCCTACCCCACATCCCCCCTCACAAGCCTCGTCCGCCCGCTTCTCCCGCAGCCGGCTGTACACAGCCGACTGCGTGAGCGCTGTGGCTTCAACCTGCGCATTACTACCTCACCCGGGAGCGCTTGCGGCCCGCGCTCCCCACGCGTGCACGTCCACCCGCACCGCAACAACCTCCCGCGCAGGCGCGGCCACAAGAAGCGCATCGTCTTCTACGAGGACGAGAGTCCCGCCATCGAGGCGGCGAAGCCCTTCACCCCCGCCGTGGAGATGATCCCTCTGGACCCCATCCCGCCCGACGACAACTGCCTCCAGGAGCTCGTCCCCGGCCTCTCGGTCGCGTTCGCGCTGGACGACGGGCCCGCGGCGCGCATCGCCTTGGAGGAGGGCCACACGCACATTGTTGAGATTTGCTTCTCGCCTGCCGGGCCGCGGGCCTGCGCCGGCGGGACCACGGAGGAGATCCACGAGGAGCGCGCGCAAAAGCTCCGTCTTGTCCTCCCTGCGAGCGAGCGTGCGAGGGAGGGCCGCGCGGCGCTCGCGCTCACCGACCTGCAGCTGCGCACCGCGCGCGACTTCCTCGCGCAGGCGCTGCCCTACGCCCTCGCGTCGCGCCCCGACGCAGGCAACGTCCGCATTCTGATCACGACGCCCGCGGGCCGCCCGACGGACGCGATGGCCGTCGCGGGGTGCTACCTCTCGTTCGTGTCGCGCAAGAGCGTCGACGGCGTCCTGAGGTGCATCGACGAGGAGGAGGACTACCTGAGCGTGTGGAAGGGAGAGGTGTCTGGGGATGAGGTCGAGAGGGCGGAGAAGATCGCGAGGGCGTGGTCGTGGCTGACGGCGGTGGCTGTCAAGCATGATGATCATGACCAGGACCGGGACCAGTCTGAATCGTAGAGCACCTGGCGTGCGTCGCGTCAGATATTACCTGCCGCATTGTATCTGTAGATCTCACTTGTAGCACATAATCCTTGCATATTTATTCAGTTATACATCCTATTCTTGAAACCTAGTGAGAGTGACAGCAAAGCCTAAGCAAGCGGTGTGGATCCTGAGCAGATCGCTTCCGCCTTGCGATCCGGACCAACTCATGGGACAGCGGCCCAGCCAGCACGGAAGATCTCCGGGGATGTCATAGGGCGTCTGGCACGGTGGTACGCCAGACGTAATTCCTACATCGATACACGTGCAATCAGCGTGTACGGACTACACATCAGAAGCACGGTGAACGCACCTCGAAGCTGTGCTGGGCGAACGGCGGCGAGGCGGTGATGCTTTGGAACCTCTCTTCCGATGACACTGCTCGGGTCACAGAGGCTACACATAAGAAGGTCAGGAATGCATGTACGGGAATTGGTGAAATGACTAACAATCAGTGTTATTTGTGATGGTGGGCGATGGACTAGTCGTTGGCGCCGGCCCTTGGACTGGGGCTTTGAGTCCTTTCTGATAAGCTTGAAGCCGCAATTCCTGTACAGATCACTTATCAGACGCTCTTACGAACATCAGCATGGGCTATCTCGCGTCTACCTCGAGGGAGAAGCCCATATATTGCGGCTGGAACGTAATAACCTGGGCTATCCAGGCGGCTGCACCGCCCTCAGGAGGGAAGTGGCGCGGAGCGAATACTTGCATATCTGAAGGCTGCGAAGGTGTGTGTCCGTTGAGCTGAACGGTAGGAACAGGTCCCACGGGTGGAAAGGGGGACGATGCCTCGACCGTAGCTACGAACGGTTCGAATAGTAGTGGCAGACCGATTGCAGCGCGCTCTCGGGCGCCTGCTGGTACTTGGGGGCATGGGTCTGGTGGTTTGCCGGTGGACATGTATGCTTGCAAGTAATCTCGTACTCTAATCTCCTGGGAACATCGTAGGCCTATGAGTTAGATCCGTTCGGAACCGTATCGGCTGCATTTCCAACTCGGAGATTCGCGGACGAAATGAGACGCATACCTCGAAGCTTTCCTCTCGGTCGCGCTTGTGCGCGGATATGCTCACCATCAGCTCATAACCACGGAGTCTTGGATCTGTCATATTTCACCTAATCTCAAAAGTTTCAGCTGAAGCAACGGAAGCAAATCGGACTCGGTGGCGGACCAGGTTCAACGAGTTGCCAAAAGTGACGTCTCCCGATTTGGCCATGTTGGCCTAATGAGCGCTTAGACATGGGCGTCCACTCAGTCGCCGTTCGTTCTGCAATACTTATCTAAATGTCATAGGTGCTCTAGTATCCATTCTCGCCTTATTTCTAGCTATGCAGGTGTAGGCTAGACCGTAAGTCTCGTCGCGATTGACGAAGAGGCCCGCCAAATGACGTCTCGGGCAAATAGAGAGCCTCACACAGCGACCATTTTCAGGCTCCTAAACCATCCGTCGCCTTATACCACCTCGGCTTCACCGTAGCTGCTTGTCAACATTCTCCGGACACTCCATACAAGTTACCACGATCATCTACCAGCTATACGTCTTCGTCTCCCTACCGTCGCCACCTCCAGTGCTCGTGGTTGAGGTACCACTTGGGCTGTTCCGTAACTCCCAGGATCTCCTGTACCTTCGGCAGAATTTCATCGATCTTTCGGCATGGCTCGTAGTTGTCACATAGAGATAGGAGGAGGACATTCGTCCCGGAACAAAATCCAATCCTGATCTCGCACTCGGATCCGATCTGCTGAGAGATATAGCAGCAAGTGTGCCAGATGGCCACTTCCTCTGAATAGTTCTCGCCGTGTCGTTTCTTGGTGAAGCCTGTCTTTACCGCGATGTCGCAGAACTTCTTCACATCGATCGGATATCCGTAATGCAACATCGGAGGTATTGGCTCAAAACTCCGAGGTGCGAGCAAGATTCGCGCGATTTTATCCATGGCTGGCACTTGGCGAGCGGCCTCCCGACTACGATTCTGAACGGACACTGTTGAGCGAAGGGATTGAGCCATAGTGAATGACCGGTACTTACACCTGGTTTGAGACCTTCGGGAAGGTTTTTAATACGTCGGGTTATATAGGCCTTCAGCTGCTTGCGTTGAGCTTCCTCCGAGATCGACATGTTTGATAGCGAACGCAAGTAGGTGCCGGTCGTACTCTCGTATGGGTTGTGAGATGTGGATGTCCAACAGTCAATATTCAACCATGGATACCACATATAATATACGCGTTGTATGACTAAGCATCAGGCGCCAGTAGTAGAAGTGGCCCTGGGGCCCGCTAGCGCTATGCTCCAGTGTCAGCATCAAGTTTCTGTCTTGTTGCGTTGAGCTTGTCTTGTGTCTCCTGTGGCACTACATTTTGAATATTTGGCAGGGTTCCGTTCACACGCTCCACAATCACACTGCCGCCAGAGCCTGTGGCACCATGATATATGGCAGCCTGTATGCGTAAATAGAACCTAATGTGTACAGTTGCACTCATTGTCCCCCGCGCCGAAGTCACACAATATTGTGCCCTTGGCCATCGCAGTAATTAAATAATTTGCAAAATGCGCAGCTTCCATGCTTCTCTGGCCACATGCACTGGAGATCTTTATTATTCATCGAAATACTCAGCTGTTCTTTGGCCATACAGGATAGTGCATAAATGTCGACACCTCCGAGTTTTTACGGTAAGATTTCGCCCACTAAATTACCTTGTCATGATTCCCGCTACCTTTACGCTGAGTCGTATTGAATAAGCTACTACTCTCAAAGATATCTTGGAAAATATCCGGCAGCAACGCACCAGCAATGTCGAATATGTTCATTACGGGTGCTGGGACATAAGCCCCGAACTACTGCGTATCAAAATCAAGTACCAAGTTGACGAAGATGGCGGTATTCACCCAATTAGCAATATCACAGGATATTATGAGCGAGGGTGTAGAGGTATCTGGCAGTTGTAAGCGATGTTTTCCTAATTTTGGGCGTCACTAATTTTTCAGTCAGACGTGGCATGGAGTGCGAATACTACATTAGACGCGGAGGAAATGGAGTCAATCCTCGAAAAGGCATGCCAGGAACAAGACAGCATCTCGGCTCTGGGTCTACTTGCGGTTGTGGACAGATTTGCTCTGGATGACGAGAGCACAGATGACAAAGAGCCTCCCGCGACAATCCCGCAGAACCTTTCTGACGCGAGCTTCACCAGCATACTGGACGCCCAGCGACTCAGGGAGATCAAACGCGACATCCACACGGAGGTGCGCATACCTGACTTCTGTGTCCTTCTCCTTCGACGCGACGGCTTGCTGCTGGAGAAGCCCATCGTTGTCTTTATTATCGAGCTCAAGCCCTACAATGAAGGCGACGATTCTTGTCAGAAGATCTCGGAGGCATATCCGCAG